TTGCCGCCGGCACGTATACAGTCCTGCGCTTCGATATCTACAAAGGGTTTTCATTTGGGGGGGGGCGCACTCAGACACTTGCTGTGTGGGAGGGGGCTCCCCCCCCTTTAGGAGGAGTCCAGACACGAGGAGCGATTCTTCCGCTCGGCTCTGCGCTGACTCGGTCCCAGCTGCAGCGCTGGGGCCAGGGCCGGGGCCAGAGTTCGGGACATGGGAGACGGGCGGAGAAGAGCGACAAAAGTGATGGAGAGGCGAAAGCACGTGCCCTGGGCGGGAAGGCGGAAGCACCTGGGTTGTTTAGCCGGAGAACAGACTGAGAGGGACACGGTGGCAGCTTTGTCGTACAGCAAAGGCTGTTAAAAGGAGGGAGACAACGGCTCCTTCACCTCTGAGGACAGGACAGGAAGCAAAGGGCTTAAATTCAGGGCGCTTTCAGGTGGACAAGCGGCTACTGCCAGGTGGGGAAGCACTGGAGTAAAGTGCCAGGGGAGGCTGAGACTCTCCAGGGCTGGAGATGTGTAAGAGCAGGCTGGACAGACGCCTGTCCGGGATGGTCTGCATGGTGCTTGGCCCTGCCTGGGGACAGGGGACAGGAGAGGGCACGTATTGCCCTGGGGATGTCTCAGCAGCAGCCTGGGCCCTGCGGTGAGCCGAGCTCCCTGCCCCAAGGGGTGCAGGAGGGGCGGGGCTCCAGCCCCGGGGATGGGGTGTGTCCCGAGGAGCGGGCGACCCTGGCACTGGCGCGGGGGCGCCGTGCTCACCATGACTTGGCGGAGCTTGTAGTTGCGTGCCCGGATGTCCTGCATCAGCATCTCGAAGGGGGTCAGCTGGTACTCGGTGGGCAGGGGGTCGTACTGCTTCTCCTGGACCTTCTTCAGCTTGACCCCGTGGCGGAGCTCCCGATGGGGTGTGTCCCGAGGAGCGGGCGACCCTGGCACTGGCGCGGGGGCGCCGTGCTCACCATGACTTGGCGGAGCTTGTAGTTGCGTGCCCGGATGTCCTGCATCAGCATCTCGAAGGGGGTCAGCTGGTACTCGGTGGGCAGGGGGTCGTACTGCTTCTCCTGGACCTTCTTCAGCTTGACCCCGTGGCGGAGCTCCCGCATCAGCTGCACCCACAGCCGGGCCTAGACAGACACACCGGCCCCTGCCCCCTA